GAACCCCACTCTGAACCTGACTCTGAGCCCCAATCTGAACCTGACTCTAAGCCCCACTCTGAACCTGACTTTGAGGGCTGCTGACTCCCTTCCCCAGGCCCAGATTGAGAAGGCCCACAAGAAACTGACATCAGTCCAAGGGCTGATTGGGACCCGACAGGCCAGCCTGAAGAAGCTGGCCAACAGGCAGACCCGGCCCGTCCAATTGGTGACACCTCGGCCTGAAAACCCGGGCCGGCCCAAAAGCGCTCTTTTCTCTCCAAAGCATGGTAAGAGCTGGGAGCCCCCCCTCGCACCTGAGCATGCCTTGATGATGATAATGGTAATAATAATAGTAGCAATAACATAATAACACATTATAATAATATATTTTTGTAGATCTGTGTTTCTGTGTGTGTGTGTCTGTGTGGACTAGGTTTATATTACATTGTGGGGACCAAATGTCTGCCACAATGTGATAAAAACCTGTTATTTTGAAGTTGTGGGGGGCCATTGTTCAGGTTCCCAATTACATCTGTCAATGCAATCAAAAAAGTAAAAATGTCAAAAGTTTGTTGGTTACTCATGGTTAAAAGTTAGGGCTGGGTAGGAGGGTGTCGTGATTGGGATTGGGGTTTTCCCTTAGAAATGAATATAAGGTCCCCACTTACACAGGTCTGTCTCATGTATAGATTACATTGTGGGGACCAAATGTGATAAAAACATATTATTTTCATGCTTTGTGGACTATTTTTCCGGTCCCCACGATAGGAAACTTTATTTTATAATATGCAATCAAAAAACAAAAAATGTCGAAAGTCTTGTACTTATGGTTAAGGTTAGAACTACGTAGGGCTTATGGTCGTCATTGTTGAGATTAGGGTATTTCCCACAGAAATGAACATGTGTGTGTGCGTGTGGTGTGGGTGTGTGTGTCTGTGTGTGTGTGTGGTGTGTGTGTGTGTGTCTGTGTGTGGTGTGTGTGTGTGAGCGGGTTTACCTATCCTTATGGGGACACAATGTCCCCATAACGTGATAAATATCCGTTTTTTTTCCCTTATGGGGACCGGTTTCCTGGTCCCCATAAGGGAAAACTCTATTTTATAAAAAACGGTGACTGCTATGAAAAAACTAAAAATGCAAAAACTCTTGTATTTTGTTTGGTTACTTATGGTTATGGTGAGGGCATCGTAGGGCAGGGTAGGGGTTAAGGTTGTCATAGTTGGCGTTAGCATTTTTCCCATTGAAATGAATGAGCGGTCCCCATAAGGATATGTTTACCCTACATGTGCGAGCGGGTTTGTGTGTGTGTGTGTCTCTCTGTCTGTGCGTGTGTATGTGTGTGTGTGCGTGTGTGTCTGGCTTAATATGGACTCATTCCCAAACTGGAATGTCTCTCTACTCTATGCCCTATATCCTTTCCTTGGGCTTCAGGCTTCCACTGAGCCTCTGTTGGCATTCGGAAGGTAATAATGTGTTTTTTGACATGCTGTTCCTCTAGTCCTTAGACCAGGGGTGGCCAATCATATCCACAAAGGGCCGCTGTGTTTCCGGGTTTTTGCTGCGACTCCCTATTTATATTACTAATTAGAGCATTGATTGGCTGAAGAGTCCTCACACCTGGGTTTGAACAGCTGACCTACAGGTTGTCCCAAAAACCTGCACACACACCGGCCCTTTGCGGGTAAGATTGGCCACCCCTGCTTTAGACCCTTCAAAGCGTTAATCTGAGTAGATTAGCAGTCAGCCTCCTGTCGGCTTCACCCTGACCCTGCCACGCCTCTGCAGCTCCCCAATCCTGTTGCCTGCCCATAACTAGGCTCCGTTTCTATTAGGAGTCGACATAAAGTTCACCTTCGATCTGTCTCTGCCGGGCAAGCGGACAACGAGAAAAAGCCCCACCTCCAGGAAGGTAGGACCCAGCACTGACCATTTGGGGGTGTGGCTTCTTTGTAAAGCCCCTCCCAGCTCCCAGAATTCCCTGTTCTTTATTCTCTAGCACAGCAAATACAAATGACAAATCTTGGCCTAGAGTAGCCCATTCTAGGGAAGGCTCTCCTTATCCTGAATATGTGACTAGATATGATTCCAAATCACAAATGTCCATCACGTCTGCTGCATGTTATAGATGGTTGGGGCACTCTGGGATACAATGTTCTCTCCAGAAAGAGCACTATAGAGCCTCCAAGGTGTTGGTCATCATTCTGCATCGCTCCCTGTCCGTCCAGATAGAGGTGATCCATGACTACCAGGAGAATCCCAGCTCCGGATGCAGCAGTCCGGAGGGAGAGGACGCATCCGACCTCCTCAGACGGTGCATCGCTGTTCCCGCCTCCCATATGGATATGGCTGTGCTTGCCAGGCTCTGCCAGTCGTGACGTCCCTCCCCCTCTCTGCCTTTGTCCCCTTTCCTCCTCAGTCAGGTGATGAAGGAGCTGGTGGAGACAGAGAGGATCTACGTGGATGAGCTGCTGTCCGTACTGCTGGTAACGGCTGTAGTGTTTAACCTCACTGTGCTGATTCGCTCGCGTGTCCATCACAGTAACGTCTGGTTTTCCTTCATCGTTTTGGACTCTTACGTTTTGCTGCTGAAATCCATATGCTGGATTATTGGGTGATTTTCCCATTGCTGGCTCTGAACGATGCAGATTGCTGGAATGGGAATCTCTGTGGTGTGTGTGTGTGTGTGTGTGTGTGTGTGTGTGCGTGTGTGTGTGCATGCGCTCATGGTCACTCTGCAGGGCTACAGAGCGGAGATGGATAACCCTGCTCTAGCTGACCTCCTGCCCCCTACCCTGCGCAGTAAGAGGGACGTGCTTTTCGGCAACATGCCTGAGATCTACAGTTTTCACAGCAGGTTTGGCTTTGCACTCTCTCTCTCCTGTCATTATGTGTCGGACGCTGTAGGGGTCAAATGAAACCCAGACACAGCTAGACTCCACCCCTTGGGTGTGGTAAGACCAGGATAGGCTCGACAGAAGTGACACCGTCTCTGATTGGCTGCCGCCATCTAACTCTGCCCCCTTCTGGCGTTTTTCAGGCTCTTTCTCCATGACCTCGAGAGGTGTTTGGACTCCCCAGAGGGTGTGGGGGCATGCTTCCTGGAAAGGGTGAGGCAGTGGGGGGGGTGAGGACAGGCTTCACCAGAGAGTGGAACATGCTACATGTGCGTGTCTGCATGTGGTTGTGTATTTGGGTGTGTTTGGGTCAGACTGTGTGTCTCTGTGCTTCCAGAAGCAGCACTTTCAGCTCTATGAGCGCTACTGTCAGAACAAGCCCTGTTCCGAGTCCCTATGGAGGCAGTACTCTGACTGTGCCTTCTTCCAGGTACTCACCGCCTTGCTTTTAATTCAGTCATTTTGTAACAACACTGCCACACAGTGGAAACTTTTGGCACTACACCCATCATTTTTAAAAACATAACGTTGCTTAAATATTTTTTATTTGTGGTTGATGTTTGGGTGGATTGTTCTGTACAGGACTGTCAGAGGAAGCTGGAGCACAAGCTGGCCCTGGATTCGTACCTATTGAAGCCAGTGCAGCGACTCACCAAATACCAGCTGCTACTGAAGGTGAGGCCTGGACATGGGGGGGGGGGAGGGGGATCCGTGCGTCATTGCTGGAGGTGTGATAAAGGGAGTCTGACAATAGCTCTGTCATTGTGGGAATGACGCAGAGGCTGTTGTTGATGCCACTCCCCAACAGGAGCTGCTGAAATGCAGTATGGGCTGTGAGTGTGCCCCTGAACTGCAGGGGGCGCTAGCGGCCATGCTGGAGCTCCTCAAATCAGTGAACGATTCCATGCACCAGGCAGCCATCACAGGCTATGAGGTAAGGCTGATTCACCTGCATGTAGAGGGGGGAAAGCCCTGCTCCCACAGCAGCCCAGACGAAGCTGCATCAGTGTCAGAGGCTACATCTGTCAGTCTGTTTCAGCCTGGCTAAGAGCGCCTGCTGAAGCGGGGGAGCGGTGTCCTGCAGGCTCAGAGTGCTATAAGCATGGAGGCAGAGTCACACTGTAGTGAGGGCGCAGTAGAGATGAGCAGGTCCTGGCAACCTTTGTGATGTTGAGGCATTTCCTGTGTGCTCCTCCAGGGGGAGCTGAGCCAGCTGGGCCGGCTGCTGATGCAGGGCCCCTTCAGTGTGTGGCCCGGCCGGCGGCGCGGCCCCACCCCCATGAAAGACCTGACTCGCTTCAAGCCCATGCAGCGCCACCTCTTCCTCTACGAGCAGGCTCTGCTCTTCTGCAAGCGGCGCGAAGAGCACGGCGAGAGTAGCCAAAGGACCCCCTCTTACAGCTTCAAACACTGCCTCAAGGTAAGGGGGGAGTGCACCAGGGGTTTGCCAGGTCTTGAACCAAGACCCCTGACTGCGCTCAGCCCAACTTCATTGAATTCATGCATCATCATTATTACATAAATGTGATATTATGTAATGAGCTGGTACCCTGCTGGAACACCAGGGGTGGCATAGGAGGGTTACACCTTGGGGACATTCCCCCCAGAGAATTTTACGGCCCCCTTTTTCTCTCTAATTTAATAGAGTCATTACAGGTCATCATAGCTAATGACAGGTGGATGGAGGACTTTGAATAAAAATAACAATGTCTGTAAATTCTTATTAACCACCGTGACAGATCTGATTGGTGGGTCAATGTTATTATTACAGGGAATCGCTTGGGGGGAGAGGGGGGGCGTTCGCAGCTCCAGACAGAGGATGTGCTGAATGTTATGTGTATGTTTCCCATGTTTCTCTGCAGATGAGTGCAGTCGGCATCACGGAGAACATCAAGGGAGACGTGAAGAAATTTGAGATCTGGTATAGCGGCCGGGAGGAGGTTTACGTGCTGCAGGTGAGGGCAGGATCTCATATTTTAATGATGTCCCCTGTGTTTACACTGTCTCACTGTGCTGTCCCTTGTGTTTACACTGTCTCACTGTGCTGTCCCCTGTGTTTACACTGTCTCACTGTGCTGTCCCCTGTGTTTACACTGTCTCACTGTGCTGTCCCCTG